ATGTTCCACACCTTGTACCTGGCACCAGGACGGGTCACATCAATTGTCCAAATCAATCCGCCTAAAAACAATGACGATTCGTCAAGCGTGACCGGACATGTTAGAAGTAAATTGCGTCTGTATATATTTGTTTATGATATGTAATATTTAGTGACAATCACACGGTGTGTTAAAAACACACCACACTAGACTTCTTCGAGGACTACTTTTTGGTGGGTGTTATCAGGCGACAAAGGTCACAATACCTAGGTTAACAATATGGGGGCGTTTATGTAATTAAATTTATATAAAACGAGAAAATTAGCAAAAATGACACAAAGTACAATTTGCTGGAGTAATTAATTTTATAAATTCGAGTAAAAGTAATGTATTTTACCGTCTAGCTGCAGTTATGATTGTATTTCGCATATTTTCAGATTAGTATCACCCCTTCGTCGAATTTACTCATGGTATAAACCAAGTCTCACAACATCCAAGATGGCGGTCGTGTGGAAGTTTCTGTTTGTGTATGTTGTAATTTTTGTACAGTTTTCAAGTAGTCTGAGGCCAGGAATCACGTCCAAAAACTTGCACCTGCCGCGAAGGATATGGCAGGATGCGCAGGACAAGGGTTTCTACCGGATCGACAGCGGGGACTTTCCGGTAGACGATGCTGACGGTGTCGACTCCGGCCGCGGTCGTGTCAAACGTGATCACACGTCGCCGCTGCCACAAGTCACCAGGGTACGTAAAAAAAATATCTTTACCTGCTATATAACTAAAACCAGCATACGTCAAGCCTGTATCAGCCTTTGCTAAAGCTTATTCTTCATCTTTTGTGGAACATATCTCCTTCTATGAGGTTTCGTTTAAACGTTTTTGCCAACCTACGTACCACCAGGAAGTTATCATGATTATGTTTCGTCACAAGATCAGGTGATCTTTTGTAATATCAAGTTACTTCTGTCCCCAACTAGACCTCAACAATGTAAACATATACATTTGTCCAAAAGTCTGAGACATAGAAAGTTTATTGTTTTTTCGTATGGTCTTAACTTAAGAACAAATCAAAATTCCAGAATTATATATTTCACATGGCAACTGTCAGAGACTGAAAATTGTTTCCCGTATAGTAACCGTGTTACGTATATGATATTTACCTAAATGTCTTCTGAGGTGGTTTAACTGTATAATTTACTACTGGACAAAGAGCCTCTTTGGTGTTTTGTAAATTGTGAGGACTAACATGGGACAGGTACAGAATATTTGGCGTTTAGGCGACTGTGAGTGTGAAAGGGCTTGTTCACTCCGAAGTCACCAAACTGTGATGACGGGACATTGACGAGATTACCAAGCTTCCCTTTTTCTCAGAATTAGGGATGACATCAGGGGATACTGTAAATTCGTTTATTTTTGCTGGAACACAATTTTTGCAGAATAAGGGAGGTGAAGTTTTTGGAATGTTCGCAGTTGAAACAATTCAGTGGTACAGTGTAGTAACACAGTCATTGAAACTACTTTGAAAATGCCTATTCAATGCAGTGTTGTAAATTTGCAACTTGGAGAGGTCACTGCGAAAGTAAAACAACTGCAAACATTTGAAGATATACAGTAGACTACTATAGATATAAACACAGTGTGGCGGAGATCACACTTGGGCAAAAAAAGAGAATTTCGCAATCCAATGTCACTTCATGTATTCGTTGTAAAAATATTATTATTATTTATGTCAAATCTTGAGACTGAATGTTATTAACCTTTTAGCTTTGAAGCTACTGTATTTGTGTGTCATCATTGTAATAATATGTTTTTCGAACAAAACTGCACTACATGTAGGTCCGGACCTTTTAGCCTTGTGGTTTGTGTGTTGGCATTGTGAGCCAGCATTTGCCCCTTTGAGTTTCAGTTGTTCCCACACCGGCCCTGTGAGAAGGGAAAAAGTGTACCACACAGGGATATTGAACTCAGAGATTCAAGGATGAATCTAAAAAGTGGTGTAACCACCAACTAACATAACACCGTCTAACTCAATAGCTAGTAACAGGTCCATATCTTTTACTGTAGCCTTGTCGTAAGTGCTTTGGGATTTTGAGCTTAGGCAGCCCGTGTTCGGCACAGGTTGAATCTCGGGAGCTACAGTTGTAGCTGCAGAATTCGCCCCTTTTTTATTTCATAGGCAACTGATAGTGATAGGTCCTTGGAAAAAAAATGCCGCATTTCCGATCACCCGACCGAGAATAGCAAAAACCTGCCGACCCAAATGCCTTTCTTTGATCAACTGCTGGTAAGGCTATGGAATTTTTTAGTGTCTAAGTGAAATGTCATTCAACATATTTTCAGAAGCAATTTTTCTTCAGTAAATTGGGTGAAATGTTTGTTTATTTGATAAACGTTAATCATTTTAATTTTTAGCAGAAGTCTAAAAAAAAATTTTAAAAAAGAAGACAATTCCTACCTACCAATCCTAGTTTTTTTTCAGGCACAAAACCAGAAACACAACTTTAACTTTTCTAGGCCTAGTCTTTATTTTGGACACACTGTGACAGTTATGCAAGTGTCACATTTAGTGACAAAGGTCAGCTGATAATGTGATATTCTCAAAACATAACAGTTTGTTTTTGTCATACGGCCGCAGCAACTATGACATTAAAATACAGACTTTAAATCAAATGACAAAGCACGAAAAAAGATACCACGCCCGTAGCCAGGATTTTGAATGGGGGGGTTCTTCCCACTGCTTGAGGGGACCTCAAGCGCCGTATGTAGGTGCGAGCTCGAGGTTCCTGGGGGGTTCTGGGGGCATGCTCCCCTGGAAAATTTTGAAAAATGAACCTTCTAAAATGGCATTTCGTGCATTTTTGAGAGGATTTCCAAGAAAAAATCAGAGATAAATTTTTATTCATTGACAAAGGGAGCAGTTTTTCTGCGATTCCAGACCATCTTCTCAAGAAAAATCTTGGACCTTTACATAAAAAGTGGACCAAAAAGTGGACCTTTACATAAAAAGTGGACCAAAAAGTGGACCTTTACATAAAAAGTGGACCAAAAAGTGGACCCCCCGAACCCCTCCTGGCTACGGGCATGGATACCAAGATGGGCACGAAAATTATGGGCACGAAATGTTGTAGAATCAAGCGAAAAAAAGAGGCTGTTTAACTTCAACCAAGCCAGTGAGCTTTACAAGTTATTATTAATGACAGCAATATCTCACTCATGAATATTTTATGTACTTATAATAGTTCCCAATGAGTGTATTGACATCCTAGATTGTAACAATCTTCATAACTCCTTAATAACACTTCTTATAAATTTCTTCTTCGAATGCTGGCTTCTTAAATTAGTCTAGTCAAAAATTAATAAACTTGCAGACTACTAAGGACAGTAGAGTTGTAACTTACTAGTATGAATTGATGCAAATTGGTACTCTCTCTGAAAAATAGATTAAAAAAACTCATAACACCGAGACACTATTTCCAGCTCATTGACGATTCAGGGACAAATTTCTTGATTGTAGCGTCATTCAAATTTTAATATTCTTTAAAGATTTACGAAGGGGCACACGGCTTCTGTCCAAAAAAAACAACGCTCAGGGCTCAAAATTCATGTTTGGAAATACTAGCAGGTGCACTTGTGCACCCAACCTAAAAAATTGGGTGCACAATAAATATTTTAGGTGCACCATATATAAGATAAAATAAGTAGAATGTCTGCAAAAACTATAATTATGTTTCATTTCAAGAAAAGTACTATAACAATGATTGTATTAATTCTTTTGACATGCTAAATTAAGAATGTGCTGTAACTACTATATATTTGATAACATATTTGTATACATTAAAGCTAAGAAAATATCTGGGTGTACTGGTGCACCCACAGAAAAAGATTGGGTGCACAGCTCCAAATTTGGGTGCACTAAGGTATACATGCACCCAGTATTTCGGGCCCTGGCGCTGGTTGAAAGACAGGGCTAGATCACAGCATAGGGGGTCCAAATCACATCGTAGGGGGCCCTTACACTCATATATAGTCTTACAAAACAGTGACATCCCTTTTGAATATATAATGATGTCTTTGTGTGACAAATATATGACATCATAGCCTTGTGACTGGTCGTACCTGTTCCTCTAATGTAAGAGTAAACTTGCCCTCAGGATAGATCCGTGTAAGTACTGTAAATCGTTTTATGTTTGTGGAAGCAAAAGTTTGCATGTCGTGTTCGTGGAATTATATGTTCACGGTGGCGGCAGGTGCAGCAAAAAGAAAGTGTGCGAAATATTTGTTCACGGTAATGATAAATTCGCTACTTACAGAAGTGGTGGCGAAAACCGCAAATATAAAAGTACCGGCGTGAAAAATCATGATTTACAGTATTGTGGTTTTGATGTCGCAATACACACGTGACTCTTTGCTACCTGACTTATTGTGTCTCAAGTGATCGTTTTTGATTGTCATTTTTTCAGATTCTCGTTCAACTGTTGTCGCATATGATATGTGTGTGATACGTAACGTTAGCAGCAGGTGTTAATGATTAAAAGATGCTGACGAAAAAGTCATTCATTCAAAGTTCAGTGACCGATGGTAATGTACATAATAACAGGCACACTTGGTAAACAAAATGAAGGTTTTCTTTGCTAATATTTGATGGAATAGAGACAGCCATACAGAAGCAGACAAGTGTATGTGCACAGTTTGGTCCACTTTCCACTCAACCGTATAGATGAAAGAGGTGCTAGTGTCACGGAAATGAAAAGAAACCTACACTACAGTGGGCCTCACTGGAAGACAGAAGAAAGATGTCCAGACTATGCATGATGTACAAAATGACTAATAAACTGGTGGATGTCCCAACTACTAAGTACGTAATACCAGCCCAGAAGAGAACAAGAAATACTAAAATAGCCATGCCTTCAAGTACCACAGTTATCAACCAAGGATTGAGGTGTTCAAGAATTCATTCTTTCCTAGAACTATCGCAGAGTGGAACTCACTGTCACCAAGTACCGTAGCGGCATTGTCAATAGATAGCTTTAAACAAAGTCTAGAGCTAGAAGTTCAAGGGTTAGGTGTAACAAGTCGATCGGTGTACAGTACCGTTCGCGTTATAGTTACCCTAACGGCCGTTACTAACGCGTTTTTTTTCCGTAAGTTTTCCGTTACTTTTCCGTAAGTTTTCCGTAACTTTTGCGTAAGTTTTCCGTTACTTTTCCGTTACTTTTCCGTTAGACTTCTGCATTCATATGCAGGCCGCGGTAACATCACAGAATAATGGGAGGAGTACTAATTTACCTCATGCGGGGCGGGAAATTACCGATACACACCGCTGGAACAGCGGAAGGAACGTTGATCTAGCCTGCATTTTACTACTAGTATATTGTAACGTTTAAAACGTTTTACGATCACCGGCGCAATTCAATTAGATAGACATTTTCTTTTGTCACTGTTGCCCAGGCAAGCGTTTCTATAGTTTGTCAACTTTGTTTTGCTGTTTTTCTCTGTTAACTTATTTTACCACCGAATAAGCAAACCTAGATGATCTGAAGTTATAAATGCCCCGGTCCGCCGTACATAATAGGCGGCGGGCGTGAGGTAACGTTAGGGATGTGCAAAAACATCGTGGAAAATTCCTATAACACTCGAAAAAAGGCAGCATATTTACACGTGCCCACCAACAGTTTTATGGCTAATTATTGACCAGTTTTGGCGAGTTTTGTTATGTCCTTGGAGTTTTGTTTAGAGTGGGACGG